TCCTCCCTCGTTTGTAATACTGAGACATGTTTCACTAAAAAGAATCAGGCCAGAAACTAAATAGTTAATTTCTCAGCTGGATTTCCAATGGGATTTTGTTGTGTGCAATAAGGGAGGAATTTTGGGTGAAGCACTGTCTGTGGCCAGGCTGTTTGAATGGTTTCTACCCAGTGTGTAAACATACATGGTTTATAAGGCTAGACCTAGTACTGAAACCTTTCCCACAACCTGGATACTCTCATGGTGAATCTCCTGTGTGAGTCCTCTGGTGTATCACTAGGTCAGAATTCCGACTGAAACTTTTCCCACAATGCAGACATTCGTATGGTTTCTCTCCTGTGTGAGTCCTCTTGTGTATCACCAGGTAGGAATTCTGACTGAAACTTTTCCCACAATATAAACACTCATAGGGTTTCTCTCCTGTGTGAGTCCTCTGGTGTATCAGCAGGTCGGAATTCCGACTGAAACTTTTCCCACAACCTGGACACTCATACGGTTTCTCCCCCGTGTGTAAACCTGCATGATTTATAAGGCCAGAACTAGTACTGAAACCTTTGCCACAATCCGGACATTCATAGGGTTTCTCTCCTGTGTGAGTCCTCTGGTGTATCAGCAGGTTGAAATTCCGACTGAATCTTTTCCCACAATCCGGACACTCATATGGTTTCTCTCCTGTGTGAGTCCTCTGGTGTACCACCAGTTCGGAATTCCAAATGAATTTTTTCCCACAATCTGGACACTCATAGAGTTTCTCTCCAGTGTGAATCTTGTGGTGTATCACCAGGTCAGAATTCCGAATGAAACTTTTCCCGCAATCTGCACATGCATTCAGTTTCTCCCCAGAGTGAGTCCTCTGGTGTATTACCAGACTGGAATTCTGCCTGAAACTTTTCCCACAATCGGTACACTCATATGGTTTTTCCCCAGTGTGAGTCCTCTGGTGTATCACCAGGTTTGAATTCTGACTGAAACCTTTCCCACAATCCAGACACTCATATGGTTTCTCTCCTGTATGAGTCCTCTGGTGTATCACCAGGTTTGAATTCTGACTGAAACTCTTCCCACAATCCGGACACTCATACGGTTTCTCCCCGGTGTGAGTCCTCTGGTGTATCAACAGGGTGGCGTACCTGCTAAAGCTTTTCCCACATTGAGAGCACTCGTAAGGCTTCTCTCCGGTGTGGGTCCTTTTATGGTCAAAAAGTTGGGAGCTGTACCGAAAGACCTTCCCACACTGGGAGCATCCATACAGCTTTTCTCCGGTGTGGATTCTCTCGTGCATAATCAACTGAGATCTGCAGTCTGTGCTTTCTCCACAATATGGAGTTCTATGAGGCTTTTCCACCAGTGATATTCTTGGATTCTCGAGGAGGTCAAAAATATTTCTGATCCCTTCTTGGATGGTGCTTTGATTCAAACTGTTGTTTCCCTCTTCACAGGGTGAAGCTTGCATTACTCTCTGCCCTACGTGGCTAACCACGTGACCCCTTTGCCCCTACTAACTTCCACTATTTCCTTTTTTTCCTGAATTTGGAAATTATCCCCCTTGACCTTTTTATGTAATGTTTCATTGAGCTCCATATACTCAATTTTTTCCAGCTTGAAAATCTCTTACTGTTTTGTCTGCCTCATGCTGGAAAAGGAGAAGAGTTTTCTGGCTCTCTGGAGGAAGTGGAAAAGATTTTGACTGTTGGCTTCATTAATTTTCCTTTTTAATGCTGCTTGTGATTCTCAGTTGTCCACAATGTTCTCCTTGGCATCCTCTTTCTCTAGAAGATTCACATAAAAATCTTAGTTTAATTATTGTTGGCAAAATGGCTGTACAACATATGAAAACAACAAGGAAAAAAAAGCATAGATTACAGTGAAAAGGCAAATATGCCCAAATGCTAGATTAACCTTCAACATTCATTATGATCATTTGGAACACAGAAGACTAGTGAGATCCAAGTCCAAATACCCACTCAGCCATGAAACCCACTTGTTGACTTGGGTCAATCACAAATCCTTAGTACTGCAAAGGGCCATCATCAAATGCAGCTGGAGGTGCTGGCGATAGATTCTACACATACACACATATGCATGCAGAGAGAAATACAGATATACACAGCTACAAATGTAAGTATGGAGAAAACGTATTTCTATTTCAGCCTCCAAAATGTCTCAGAAGTGGGTATGGTCAAACTTTTGGGTCAAATTCTAGAGGGGTGGGGGCTTTAACAGATTTCATGGTGCCCAAAGCCTCTGCGAGATTTAAAGCACTGGTTTTTCCCATTAAGTTCCGCAGCTCCAAATGAGAAAGGGAAGAAAATACTGTTTACACCCACTCCGGTGACATCACAATACAGGGAGTCCTCATTTGCCAACCACAATTGGAACTGGCAAATCTGTCGTTAAGCAGTGTGGTCATTAAGCATGATGTCACGTGACTGCACCAACTTACAACATCGTTTCCAGCTGAAATTGTTAAGTGGATCACCGTGGATCATTAAGCGCAACATCACATAACTAGGACTTGCAACTTGCTGCCTGCTACCCCATTGAGCTTGTTTGCCAGAAGCCAGCTGTGAAGGTTGCAAATGGCGATCGCGTGAGTGGGGGACACTTCGAGGGCCGTTGGTAGGTCCCCTTTTTCTGCGCCTTCGTAACTTTGAAAGGTCACCGAAGGGGTAAGCAAGGACTACCTATAAAACTGAACATCCCAAATGGTCCTCAGTAGACGTTAAAAAAAATGCTGGGTTAAGCAGAATTCAACCTGGTTAATACATGGATGGGAGACCACTAGGAAATCCCCTGAATGTTTCCTGGACTTGGAAGGG